ACTTGATCTCTGAAATTTGTAGTTATGGTTTCTGGCACAGTCTTCCCCTAACCTTTATAACATAGAACAAAATGTCAATTAAACTGATAGTGACTTGTATCTTGAGTCACACAATTTGTATTGTTCAGGCTGGTGTGAATAACTGGGCAAAGGATATGTGGTTAAAAATGAAATACCTGAATTTGAAGGGGTAGAGAGTTATGTGAGAGCTTAAATACTGGAAAGAACCATCGTACACAAGTAGCATTCTGAGTGTTCCTTGTGTCTCAGTATTTGTGATTTTTTGTGAGTATTGACAAAAGACACATATGAAAAGGAAGGACAGGTAGAGACCAGGAGAATAGAGAAATAGAATAAAAGTGGAATGCCAAAAGCATAGAAATGTGAACACTACACCCAGAGGGAAAGTCATGGAAGATGTAGGCTGTCACAGATTAAAATCTCTGAGGTCATCTTTGTCTAGTAGCAAACCCAGAGGAGTCCTAATATAGAATAGAAGACTTTTGATTGAAATTTGAACTTAAAGAAGGAGGACTTTTCATGTACATGCCATTTTATAGAAGTTCATTGGTTTCTGAACACAATATGATAAAAAGTACTAGGTATCTGGTGCTACCTAAGAACTTTCTCTGTCCCATTCCCTTTTCACTGCTCGTTACACTGAGAGTTCACTGATACAATCCCACATGGAGGGAGTCATCCTTGACTGACATATTAGATGGGGCTAATGTTTGCCACTTGTACCCTCCCACTCCTACAAGATTAGTTGCTAATCTAATATAAATGGGGGGTGTCATTTAAAATGATAGTAGAAACAACAACAAAACAGAAAAATCTCACAACATGAAATGTCTGCAATTTTAAAAAAGATGTGAGACCAAAAATGAAAAAACCTTTCTACTTACTCTCCTTATATTCAGACACATATTGAAATGAATAATGAAAATACAGCTAATTTCCTCTGCCACCTACTTCCCAGCCAAATCCATTTTCACCTGCCTCTCTGATTCATTTGTCCTCACCCTGGTATTCGTTTCATTCACTTAAACTGGTAGTAATGTGTGTGAGCTGAATAATAGAATCATAGAATCAACTAGGTTGGAACAGACCTTTAAGATCATTAAGTCCAACCATTACCCCAGGACTGCCAAGACCACCAGTAAACCATGTGACTGAGGGGGCTTCACCTACGTGTTTTCTGAACACTTGCAGGGATGGTGACTCCACCACTTCCCTTGACAGCCTGTTCCAGTGCCTGATCACCCTCCCTGTGAAGAACTTTTTTCCTAATAGCCAAACTAAATCTCCCCTGGTACAACTTGAGGCCATTACTTCTTGTCCTATTGCTTGTTATTTGGAAGAAGAGACCAACCCCCACCTCACCACAACCTCCTTTCAGCAGCTGTAGACATCAATAAGGTCCTCCCTGAGCCTTTTCTTCTCCAGACTAAATAAGCCTAGTTCCCTCACCCATTCCTCATAAGACTCATTCCTCGGACCCTTCACCAGCTTTATTGCCCTTTTCTGGACCTGTTCCAGCACCTCAATGTCTTTGAAGTGAGGTGTCTTTACAATGTCTTGTAGTGAGGGTCCCAGAACTGAACACAGTATTCAGGATGTGGCCTCACCAGCAACAAGTACAGAGGGATGATCACTTCCCTGGCCCTGCTCACCACACTACTTCTGATGAAGGCCAGGATGCTGTTGGCCTTCTTGGCTGCCTGAGCAAAAGCATGCTAATGTTCAGCTGTCAATCAGCACCCCCAGGTCCTTTTCTGCTAAGCAACTTTCTAGCCACCCTTTCCCAAATCAGGAGCTTTGAATGAGGTTGTTGTGGCCCAAATGCAGGACCTGGCACTTTGCCTTGTTTAACCTGAATTAATTAATTACATTGATTTAATATATTGCTTCTCAACAATTTCAGAGTTCATCAAGCTGTAATATAATGCTCTGCTACATTACTCAGTCCATCAATATTTGCCCTACTCCTTGCAGCATAAACTTTAACAAACTGCACTGATTTCACTTGTAGAAATGCTGGCAAAATGTCAGCTGTTGAATCAACTCAATTCGCTATAAATTCATATGTTTCTGCATCCATCTGCATATCAAACACATTAATTTTCACCAAATCAAACAGTTATATTGGTACAATGCCTTTCACAACAATTACTGTTCTATGTAACTGTGCATAGAGTTGGAATTATGGCATGAAAATAAATGCTGAAATTATATTCCTTTCAAAATCTTACTTTAACCTGCTTATGCACTTAATAGACATGAATATAAAAGAGTGCATTTCCCTAGGACAGACAGGAATGATAAGAGATTCATGATGGTTTATGTTACATCAGGAAGTTTTTCACAGTACATTTGCCATTTCTTCACTACTTGGATTTATTTATTTTGTTTATGAAAGTTCTGAACTCCACAGGAATGTGCTTCTTACTTTCACCTCAGCTTAAACAGATTTGTTGTAAATGCCAATATTGAAAGTTAATTGTATTTCTACCTCTAAGTTAGTACAACTGAAGTACTGTGTGTGCTTTCCAGGGCACACTAATATAATTTTGAAGAGTTCAGTTTATCTACTGGGATTGTCTTTTATCTGAGATTTAAAAAAATCCCCAAGAAGTAATCTTTACAGGAAACAGATCATGTGAAGGGTGTGTTAGATACTACTAATTCTCTTCTCTAAACAACTATTTACACAACATTTCCAGAAATTACAATGCTTGATTTTTTCCAGTTATAAAAAAAAAAAAAAAAAAAAAGAAATACACACAAAACATAAACGTTCAGGACACAAAGCATTATTTTACAGTAAGTGGAAATCTTCCTTGTGTGATCTTTCTGAAGAGTCGGGAAATATCAGCTGTTGTGTGATATGATATCTTTATTACAAACTTAGAACTCAAGATAATGCTTCTGTTACTGATAGAGAATGAGGTCATAGGAAACTACATAAGGAATTCCGTGAAGAACCTTGAAGAAAATGGAATCTATTAATAAATACATAAACTCAAATTTATTACTGTACACCTAAATGATTTGTACATAAGTTCTCACATATTCAGAGGTCTGCTGGTTTAGCATGTATTCATGTACCTACAGGAGATTTATGAGTTCCAGTTCCTTCCTCTGTCCTCTCTGTGTCATGCTAACATATTAAAGAATTGCACAAGAATTCCCTGATATGTACTGTCATTTGATATCCAGCCTACTTTAAAAAATCCATCAGCAGTCAGAAGATAGGACAAATGTCACAGATAGATACAGCTTGAACCATTAACTTGTTACTGTTAAACAAAAACACAGTGTTGCCATTTTAGCAATGTTGTAAACATTTCTTTGAGAAGATTTTTTGACAAGCAAGAATATGTACTTTTGTAGCAGTTTGCACCAAGGTCTTAAAAAATCCTTACAAATTCTAAAATTCTCACATTCCTTTAAGGTAGATTGCTAGTCATTACACTTTCAACTGAGGAGCATATTTACATTATCTTTTCTGTGCTAAGATGGTACTTCCAACATTTTTTGTTTGCTAATATGGGTTTATCTCCACCACCAAACTCAAATTGTCATGTAACTTGGTTGCTGATGTCACTATTGTCATGAGTAGAACACTACCTGAAGGTAATCAGAGGCATGATCTTGGCTGCAGCTCCTTCAAGTGAAGTGTAAGCCTTTGCTTATCTGAGAAAAGATTCACTGGAGAAGGCTTTCTCATTTTTCTAGCACAGCTGCATGCATTCTTGATCTAGGATATGTTTGTTTTAACAGCACGGCTCCCTTCAACACTATCAATAGTAAGGTTTATTTCTAACCCAGTCATCATTTTGTGGAATTAGATTTGAGAAGAAACACATATATAACATGGGATACTGTGTCACCCTTTCATCAGCTGCACCTGAAATATTTGTGATGTGATGGTACATGGAATAAATTGTGAAAAAAGGTTGTGATAAGTTGTGATAAAACTAGTGCTGACAGTTTATCTCTATTAAAGCTAATTGTTCTCCTAATATCAGCAAATGGATCATTAGCAGCTAGAAGCTACTACTATCCAAAGAGCTCAGCAACAGGTTACACAGATGATGAGCAGGTACTTACTTCCAAAAACAAAGGAAAAAAAAAAAACAGATAAAAAGAATATAGATAGGATTTTGGTTCTTAGACACTGAAATATTCTTCAAGTTTTTGTCCACAACATTTACCATATGAAATGGTACCAAAGAAAATATTTTACTGTCTATCATGCTTCCTAAAGTTTTGCAAATTCCATCTTCGAATTAGCTCCTAGTTTAAAAATTCCTGCATAATTTCTTTGCCCTTAAGTAATGAGGAAGTAGGGGAAAGAAAAAAAAAATAAATTAAAAACCTGTTTGATTGTCCAGCACAAGGCCTGAACTTGCTTTGAGGTGATGATAACTGAATCTCTAGTGCATTAACTCAAGAGAACTTTGCTCCTTAGCTTAGTTCCTTAGCTAAATAAGATTATTACATGATAATGATAGACACCCTTTGTAACAACGATATTTCTTGCAAATTCATTGTTTTTATTAACCAGTTAATTGATTTATAGAGTGTCTGTGCAGGTCACTTAAACTTTGAAAAAGTATTTAGCTGTTTCCCAGGTGATTGAAATAATCAAAATAATTTCATGATTTTCCAAACATTTTAAGGGAGAGCTTTAAAAATTTTGAACTTTTGATAGAACTATCATGTGAGTTATATAAAAAGATGGGATTTTTTCCCCAGAAAGTCACAGAAACTGTGGGTTGCACATGTGGCCAGCTGGATTGCTTCAGAGCAACAGAAGATAGAAGTTGCTGCTAACTGTGGTGCGTAAAGGTGCACTGAGGTCGGTTTACTGGGAGCATGCTCCCTGCCTTTTTTAAGCACCGTGATTAGCATGGGTCCACCTGCCTACAATACACAACATAGACCATCCAGGATATCAGGTAAATGTTATTAGCACGAAAGGAGGAAAGTGAGAATCTTCCAAAAGCTTTCACGTTGTTAACAGTAAAAATAAGCCAGGTAGTGTTTTTAATATAGCACATCTTTACAAACAGCTGCAAGAAAACCTAAGTGGAAAGCTAAACCTTGCCTCGTGGTGTCACTTCCCTGAGCACCGTGGGAAGAGCTGCTCTCTGCTGGACAGAAGAAAAAGCTGGCTTGGGAAATCTGCTGTTTCTTCGGTGTACTAGATCCTAAAGTGATTTGAAGTTGAAAAGCAGAAAAGAGTGCATTTCCTTCGTGCTAACCGGCTAGGACAGTGGATCTGAAAGAAGAAGGCTGACCCACTGGGCTGCGCATTCAAAGCGCTCAGACGCAGACTTGTGGATCTGCTCATCTGCCTCCGACCTAAGCGCGTACCGCCGGGTCCACCCTAGCCATGCCCGCTGGAGCACCTCTGCTTTGGCTCCCGAGCACCGAAAGCTCAAAGCCACTTCTTTCCAACCCCCATGTGCCCACAGCCGAGCCGAGACGGTAGACACAGCCCACAGCCTGCTGTCATCCCCTCAGTGGAACGGAGCTCCCCTGCTGATCCCGAGCGGTGCTCAGTCAGGACATCGCTGTCTCCCCACTGCAGGCTCCGCGGGAGCGGCAGGAAAGCTCCGCCTCCGGCCGTTCGGGAACAGCCTGATAAAGGCAGGTGCGGGCAAGCAGCAGGACCCTAGGTAGAAGCATCTGCCTATGCAGAGAGACCCTGACCCGTCCTTGGCCACCCCATGCAAAGCAGCACCTGAGCCAGCCGGTGCGGCCGTGCCGACGGTGGCGGGACAGGACCCTCTCTGCCTCCTGCACCCGTGTCCCGCGGTCCACAGTCTTCGGTCGCTTCTCTGCGAAGGGACAAGGACCTCGCCCCCAAGGACCTCCGAAGAGGCGGGATTTCTCAGGGAAGGGGAAGCAGGATTTTGTTGTGCGGCTTGGAGATGAGGCAGCTATCTGGAGTGGGGCTCCTCCTGGGGCTGATGGCTCTCCCAGTGGCGCTGGGACAGAGAAGCTCGGGAAGCCCTATAAATAGCAACCAGTCTCAAAGCTTTGCCATCGTCTCTTTCAAATGGGATCACGTCAAGGACCCTTATGTCATTACACTCTGGATACTCGTGGCCAGCCTGGCCAAAATCGGTGAGTAGAGTTACATATTAGTACGTGTTCTTTCCCTTCCCCCTTTCCCTTCTCCCACCCAACGTAAATGAAGAAAGCTTATTATAAGTCCACTGACCCATTTTCAGTGGGTTTACTGTACTCTGTCCTGATTTCATAATATTGTCCTACACAGTGCTCAGCAGTGTGATCATCTTCTGTCCCAGTGGGTTACTTAGTTCGTTTTCAGTGCCCAGGACTGTGGTTGTGGCTTCCACACCTGACTCCTTGAAACCTTGCATTACTGTTGCTCCTGGGGAAAACTTCTTAACAGCAGTGAAACAGAAATTATTGCTTATGCAACGCCTATTCCAATTTATGATATACTAGTGTCTTGATTATGACTGGTTGCTATATTAGCTAGCACTATCAAAAATGGACCCTGTGAACTACACATATGAACTTAGTCTTCTCCATCTGCAGTGCATTGCTTAATTACTGTAAGAGTGTGGTTTACAGAGAAAGGTGATGTGTATTATTAGACCTTCTGATGCAGCTGAAAAAATACAATCTTTAGAGCACACAGAATTTTCTTCAAGAAATTGATCAGTGAAAAACAGGGACTTAGTCCAACTTCAGTGTAGTTTAAGTGCATTCATATGAATGCTCTAATTGTTATGTTCTGATCAGTGTGGCTTTTCTAAAATCAATCATTAATAATGCTGCTGAGCTAGAAGAGTCACTGTTTAATTGGAATATATTTATTATCTTGATGCTATGGTTTTCAGTCCGTTTACAGTTGGATCTAAAAACAGACCTCCAGTTTTGGCTGACACTCAAAGTGTCATTTTCAATTTTCAGTAAATCACCTCTAAAATCAGTCTCAGCTCAGAAGGTATGATCAGCTGAAAATCCTAATAATACTTTTCTGTACTTGTACCATTAATACTCATTTGGGATACCAGAATCGCATTCCATGGATTTTTCATGTCACAGAGAGAATGGAAGATGTAAAAAGGTGTGCTTAGGTATGGTCTGTCTAGAGCATAAACACAGAAAAGCTTATGTGGAAAAATGCTGTTTCCAAATAAAATATTTTAAAAATAGGGAGAAAGTTATCTAGAAGCGATACTGTCAAGCATATTTCTGCAATACCTGCATCTTGGGTTTCACTTGCTTAACCATATATATAAAAATATCTGAATCAATGTTGGACTACATCTTTCAAATAGTTTGTATTCAGATGGTTGCTGCATTACCTCTATTACATGAAAACATAGTTTTGTCTTAGTTGACTTTTATTGAGGGTTATATCAAGTAGAAAGCTGGGGAAACCACATAGGGAAAAAACAATGACGACCCTGAGTCTTTACAAAATTGTGTTAACTAAAATAATATACAGGTGACTTATTTGAAATACTCTTCTAAATAAGTATTTGCCCTTTGTGTTATTAAGGCTTTGCTGTTTTGTACATGTGCCACAGTTGTATAGAGTAACATTATTGCTGCACAGTCATATCAGTGCTGTCTTAGAAATCCTGTGAAGCTATCAGGACAGTTAGATTGTCGTATACTTAAGTTTAAATGGCCTGGATTAAGATTACTTGGGTTAAGATGGGCCAATCTACTGTGAAGTCCTCATCATAAACTCTTGATAAAACACTTATTGCTCTTGGAGTTTAGGAGCTGAATGTTGCTGGTTCTGCACTTCTTTCACAGCTGCACAGAGCGTGTCACTTACTAGTAGATAGTATCTATCAACTCCATAATTTTTCTTCCCCAAAGCTGTCAAGCTTTGCTCTTTTCTGTCTTCACATTTGTAATTGCAATCCTATACTACTCTGGACATTGTCTCTGAAGAAGCAACAGGCAACTGCTGTATTCCACTTAGAGACAATGAATGCTCCTGCTTTCCCCACTGGTCAGAAATAAAATACAGAAAAGCAGAAATGTATACTCACTGTTCATCAGCTTATTAATGAAGAAAGCATGAAGGTGTTTATATAAATCAATGAGAGGGGGAAAGGGGGGGGGAAGCCCAGTTTGTCAGCCTTCTATCTGCCTTTGTATGTCTGTGGTTCTGGAAAGTAGATCAGAAATTTATCAGATTTTGAAGGCCAAAAATCCTATGCCAGTTCAAAGACATTTTATACAGTAAAAAAGCAGTCAGAAAAGAACTGAGGAAGAAAATCTAGAACATCTGCCATTGTATCTCTTGCTTGCTTTACTACCTAAAGGAGGCCAAAGGTAGAGTCAAAATGCTGGTGTGTCTTTTGCTGGGGAGGCAGTGTTCCTACCCATAAAAACTCACTTTTCCATGGTTACAGACTGGGAGAGCTATTTTCCTGGTGGATGATAGGGTAATGCATCAGCAAAGGGTGTTCTAGGAATTGCAATTGGTAGCTGGGGATGAAAGATGTATGAGACTATTTTTCCTTCTCTTGCATTAGAATAACTTCAGGGTTTTGTGGGGGTTTTGTTTTGGTTGGTTGGTTTGGTTTTGTTGTTTGTTTCTGGTTTGGTTTGGGGTTGTTTTGTCTGGTTTTTGTTGTTCTTGTTTGTTGTGTTTTGTTTTGTTTTTTTTTAAGTTTCAGTTTATGATGTATATGGCTTGTAGAAACATGCACATAGTAGAAGGTTCTTGTGGATTTTTTGTGACTTGATGTTCATGTTGTGTACATTCAGAATGTAAAGTGGTGATGACAAGGCATTCAGCAACATGAACTATTGCATGTAAAATCTCAGAAGCATCCCAAATACATGAAGAAGTGCCTAATGTTTTAGGGTTTGTGGGAAAGAAGCTGCTTTTTTTATTTTTGTGTGTGTGAAGAATACCCGCATCTCTTGGGCAAGTCTAAGTATTGCTGCAAATGAAACTGGAAGAAGAGTCTTTGAACAGTTTGCTTTCATACACTATATAAGTTAACATGTCTTTGTCTACTATGGAACTTCCAGTGCATGTCAGTGTACTGTTTTACATACTATAATTGATTTGACCTTCTTCATTTGAGATGTTCTACCTCTTTATTCTAAGGTACACAATGTTCCACTTTGGCTAATGATCTTTATTTCCTTTATTGATAGGCTCTCTTATCACTTCAAGTGAGTATCCTTATAGGATAAGGCCAATAAACTACTTACATGTGTAAAGCTAAGACAGAAAAACATCTTATCTAAATGAAGAAGGTACATGAAGTACAGCTGAGAACCCTCCCAGTGGGCTTCAGGTCTCTACTTTCTGGCACCTTAGTTCTCCAGATGAAGAGAGCAATATCAATGAAAAAAAATCCCCAAATACACACGTGTGTATATATAGTTACAGACTAGGGCACTGACAAAGAATGTAATATTTTTAAACAACATACTTGCAGAATAGAGTTCTGATTTAAGATTAAAGACACATGCACATTCTCCAGCCCTGCACATGCTTTCTGTGTTCATTTTATCATGTGTTCTTCTCCTTTCTATGTCTTTAAGAGATCACATCTTGAAAATAACTTTTGAATAAACAGATATGTAGAAGACACAAACAGTAGTAAGGAAGCCTGATACAGGGAAAAAAAATAAGTAACAACAAACCAAAACCAAAGAAGCAGGAGGGAGATCAGAAAACAACTGCGGAAACAAGTAGAAGGAAAGGAATAACCAGCTCAGGAGCTAAAAATGGGCAAGAGAAGAAATAAACTCTGAATATTGTATACATTTTTTTTTCTGAGGATATTTCCTGATTTCAATTTAAAAATAAAACAACCAACAAAAAAAAAAAAAAAAACAAGTATGCTTTTTAGTTAGGCTGTATGCACTGCATGCTTCTGTACTTGTTCATAATCTTAGGAGTCAGAGAGAGATTGTATTTCTATTTTCATTGGAGGTTATGTTGCGAAACTGGTAAAATTCCTACTGGTGGCTTAAATCCTTTTGTGGATTTCTTCCTTCTTCAGATGGACAGTTAATTTTTGGCATAAAATAAAATAAAATAAACCACAAAAAACCTTAAAAGCAGTCTTTCTGCTTCTAACCCCCTGAAATTGCTCAGTGTGGAACAGATAAGCAACTGTAAGAAAGAGGGGGAGAGTGAGTGACTAGGAACAGGAATGAGGAACAGTACATAACCTTTTAATTATCTGTGATTCAAACTTCATGCCAGCCATTTTCGTTGGTATAGCTTATGCTGAGCCCAAGAATGCCACAAAAGCTTTTTTTCTTTTCTATTTTTTCTTTACATCTAAAGGCTTTTATATTAGAGATTTAAAAATGGGAGTGAAATTTGAATCCAGGACAGCTGATAAAACTTTCTTCTCTCTTCAGAAATGCCACAATACTTTGCAGGAGGGAGAAGAAGTGATTCAATAACAAGGAAGAAACATTTAGGAGAAGGATGGTCTAGTGATATCTCAAAGATACTGTGTCAGATGGACTTACTGAGTCCATCAGCTCCTGAGACCCCAGGAGGACATGAGAACTGGGGTGTAAAACGCTCTGTATCTCTAAGTTTACAGAGATATGGGTTCCTGCAAATTGTGCCTGTTCAGGCCCCTTCATATTGTCTTAGAGCACTCTGAGAAAGGAGTTCTTCAGAGAAATTTGTTAACACAATTGCTGTTGAGAATTTTAAGCATTTTAGGGATGGGCTAGGGAAGGAACTGTGAAATGCAGGTCTAGCAACCCATCCAATTTAGACTCCTGGGGCAATATTTTCTTTGAAGAAATCAATACCCCACCCTCCAAAGCAAACTGTCAAAACAAAAGCCTATTTGAACCCCAAGTTTTTCCTCCTGGCATTTTAGCACTAGTCATGTCAGTTACTTAGAGAAAGTGATTTACTGTATTGTTTTAATCAAAAGGGGGCAAAAAAGTGAGAATAGATCTTCAGTAAATAAATCTTTGAGAAGAAATGTTGAAGGATGCTTAGCAGAAGTTTATTGGAAGTATTTAACTTAAATGGAGTCAGAGGACACCACCAGGCCCTGCAAAGGTTAAACTAGCAGCTTTGCCATGATTGTAGTGCTTGTTAAAAGCTGCTTTCATTAGCAGGTGATAAT